GTTCAGCATAAGACTTATGCATACAGGTTATTTGTATGTGTGAATTTCATTTAGGGTAAAAGTTTTCTCTGCATGGTGAAATCCCATTTCCTTTTTAAAAAAAAAAAACAACCCTATCTGAGTTTCTCACTTCTAAAACACATTTTTACTTGACACTACACCTTCATGATGATCCCATAAGCCAAATTCTTCTCCTGTATTACCTTCCTGGCAATGCTGTTTATCATCTAGAGTCCTGTCCTCTCTCACCTGTCCTCCTCCACAAATTCTACCTATTCCAATTTTCACTATTCCCCCCCAAGCAATCCCCAAATGCCTTGAATGAAAGAACAAGAAAGAACTGGAGCCTAGCTGCAGTATGAAATTACTTGATATGGATTAGTATGAATGTTTACCTAGCTGCACTGTGGAAGTGACTGTGTAGTACTGTGTAAGGTGGTTAGGGATTTATGTTGACTTGTAGTAATATTAAACCTGTTGGGTTTTTAATCAGGATTTTCTTGTTGAAAATTAAGTAAGAATAATTTATCTGGCCTAGAATGGAACAGAATATATGACAAAGTGAAAAAGTGATCTCCTGTCTTCTTTGTGTGTCTTACCTGAAGTTGTCAGTCTAAGTGCTCACCTCAGTAATTATTTTTGTTGCCTGGAAAGCTGCATGAAAATGTCCTGTTATGGTATCATTGACTTTTGTGTTCACCACCTGAGAAGTAAGTGTCAGTATGCGTTAGCTATGAAGATGAAATATGAATAATGGTGCTGTTATATGTTTTAATGAACTAACATGAACTGGATATGTAGCAGCATTATAGTTTGAAAACTGTGATGATCGAGATAAGAATCTGCCCATATTTAATCTGCACACTCACATTGTTCATTCTCAATGTCATCCTTCCAGCTCCTCAAAGCTGTATGCTTAGAGGAGGCTATTTTTTTTTTGTGTGTGTGTACAACTGTCTTTACCTATGAAACCCATCACAGTTAAAAGCTGAATAGCAAAAAAGTTATTTACTCTGTAAAAAACAAACAAAATCCCACAAAAATACAACCAACCCACCCCATGAATTACAGGTTTAGTAAAGAAGTTGCACAGTTGGTGACTAATCAAGTCTGTGACTGAACAAAGCTGTGCTTTCAAAGAGAGGCAATCCAGTTGCCCAAAAGTAAGGTGCAGACAGAGATTCAAGAAGGAGGCTTAGGTAGAATGGTACCAAATACATAGAAGAAATGAAAATATTTTTTTTTTTATTTTCAGAGTTTTTGTTTTTTAAGCGTCTGTCATTTTCTCCAGTAGCCAGAGAGGATGAACTGCAACTAGGCACTGACCTCAGGCCAAAAATAAAAGAGCACAGATCCAGAAGGTATAAGCTAAAATAGTATTCCCTGTATGCAAGGGCACTAATAGTTGGATACCTTCAAGATTAATAGCTGTAATGAATAAAAGGTGTTTGAAAGTGAAGAGCAGACTTGAGCAAGCTCTTATGTGACATTGGACAAGGAAAAAATTGCTTGCAACATTCTTGCTGTTAAAAGAAATATAGAACTGTTAGACATGAGTTAACTACAAAGCTAAGTGGTTTTGAGTGAATCTAGTGATGCAGTATCTATGACTTATCTATAAGCAGGCAGATGCTACTTTGTAACCTGGGACAGGAAATATGAAAGACTTCACATGGTATCACCTCATCTCTAGTGCTTACTTGGCCCCACAATGTAGGAGTTAGATTAGAGTTGATGACTGCCAGAACTCACCACTTTGCTTCCTTTCTTGAAGATGGTCTCAATTTACACATGGAGGATAAACAATCAATGAGTTTCAGGAGATAAAAGATTGTTGTTTTCCAAGAGACTCAGCCTATCTGACTAAGCAATATCTGACTAAACACCTTCATTTTGATGGGGATAATGTTATTTGTGGGTATGAAGGTGTCTTATGCTTCAGCCTGGAAAGAGCACAACAATAAATTTCAAGAGTTTTTCTGGGGGTGGAAAAAAAAATTAGTAAAATTAGTAAGCCTGAAACAGGTCCATGTGCATGAAAACCCATGAAAGTAAGTAGTGCGGTTACTGGCTCTTGATGCAGTTCCTATGTCAGCCTTCAGTTTCACTAATAGTAACAAGCAAAGAGATTTGGCAAACAATTTACCCTAAGTTTATTTACCTGTCACTTAGGCACACAGACTTCAATCCTTATTAGGTTCTCTCGCACACCTTCAGTCCTTATTAGGTTCTCTTCAGTTGTGTTTGTTTAGGAAAAGCATAGAAATGGGATAGTCTTTGTTTTGGTGCCCTCTTGTGGGTTCATATATTGGATATACTGGCCAAGTTACACTTCTAACAAGTTTACTATTATTAAGGGATATAACAAATATTAACTGTTACTGCTCAAGGTGTGTTCAGACAGCTTGTACGATCCCATGCAACTTGTTCTTTGCTTTGAACTGACACTTAGAATCATAGAATCATAGAATAGTTAGGGTTGGAAAGGACCTTAAGATCATCTAGTTCCAACACCCCTGCCATGGGCAGGGACACCTCACACTAAACCATGCCACCCAAGGCTTTGTCCAGCCTGGCCTTGAACACCACCAGGGATGGAGCATTCACAACCTCCCTGGGCAACCCATCCCAGTGTCTCACTACCCTAACAGTAAAGAATTTCTTCCTTATGTCCAATCTGAACTTCCCCTGTTTAAATTTTAACCCGTTATCCCTTGTCTTGTCACTACAGTCCCTAATGAAGAGACCCTCCCCAGCATCCCTGCATAGTCCCTCCCAGCATACTTCCATGCATACTTCCATGTATGTTGGACCTTTTGTACAGAGAACATTAGCTGCCTCTATGTAACTGAACCCATGTTATGTTCATGTTGTCATGTGTACTGGTCTTAAGCAATTGTGGGAATATTGCAGATGGAAGGGCTGGACACTTGGGTAACATTTATGTTATGGTTCATGTGACTGGCTCATCTTTGCATACCCCTGTCTGCACACCTCCCTTCTATTTAAGAATAGCTGAAGTTAAGAGATAGAAGCTAAAATGAGAGGATTTTAGAGATAAATTGGAAACACTCACATATTCATACTTTGCCTAGGTAGAGGTATATTATCACATGTGTGTTTGTGTTGATATATGATAATCTCTTCCCTAACTTCAGTTCATTATCACTTACAAATTTGATTTTTGTACCTAATTACCTCCAAACCTCCCCTCCACAATTTTGTAATGTTTACAGTATCAATTGTCTCTGTGTGCACTGGACTCCCATGGCCTTTCAAAAGATTCACCCAATCAAGTTCTCACTTATATGAAAAAGATAAAGGCTCTGCCAGTTTGCAGCCACTGGTGGTTGGTTTTAGTATTTCTCCTCTTGAGCTCAGTTTTATTTATTACATCTTTTTTTGTTGCTGTTTTTTCTAAGGGGCAGAAAAACCACCCCTGATTAACCATTTTGGAGATCTGTTACAGGGGACACACAATGATTTAGTTGCTGGATTTTGCAGCAGGTTTCTGTCAAGTCCAAAGGATGGGTATTGCTTGTCTCAACAGAATTGTGAAAAATATCCCTAACAACTAGCTCTGTGTTTAATAAGTGAATGTTTTAAGTCTTGTTCATCTCTCTGGTTGTGTTTTAAAAAGAAACACGCAGTTTTTTGGGAACAGGAAGCTGCCTATGCCAGTGTATAGTGGATTCCATCCAGTTCAAGTGTTAAATGTTTTGCTTCCCAAATGCCTTATGTTCCTTTATGGCAAGCAGCAGTCCTGTGGGGTGGTGGGTACAGCTGAAGCTGCTCAGGGAAGGGGTTTGAAGGCAGAGGCTGTGGGGCTGGGCAACCTTGCTTTCCATCTGGAGGAAGAGGCTTTCTGGGGGCTACAGGCAGTTGGGCTGAGTTTGCTGCAACTCCCCAGCAGTCCAGAATCTTACAGAATCACAGAACCATTATAGGTTTGGTGGGACCTCTGGAGATCATCTAGTCCAACCCCACTGCCAAGGCAGGGCCACCTACAGCAGGTTACTCAGGAACGTGTCCAGGTGGGTTTTGAATATCTCCAGAGCTTCTTTCAGTGCTCTGCCACCCTCAACGTAAAGTAGTTCTTTCTCATGTTGAGGTGAAACCTACTGTGTTTTAGTTTATGGCCATTGCTCCTTGCCCTGTCATTGGGCACCACTGAGAAGAGTCTGGCACCATCCTCCTGGCAACCACCTTTGAGATATTTATATGCACTAATGAGATCCCCCCTCAGTCTCCTCTTCTCTAGACTAAACAGGCCAGGCTCCTGCAACCCCTCCTCATGAGAGGATCAGATTACTGATCCTCTCTGTGGTCCTCCACTGGACACTCTCCAGAGAACCAGGACCCTCTCATTAAGGACTCACCTGGGAAGGGGGAACCAGGGAACAAACCCTTGTGTTTAGTCCCTATCTCTCTCTGATAGTTAGTTAGAAGTTTTTTTTATTTAAAAATGGAATCACACCTAGGTTGTATTTCAGATGCCAAATGCTAGATTTTATTTATCTGGGGCCTTTTGGGATTGGTTATAAAACACAGTGTGGGCAGAGGCTGTTAAATTCTGGCTTAGTTGTTTTTTCTTTTGCAGTTTATTAGAATTTGGAACAGCAAAAATGCAAGTATTTGAAATATGTTGGGGGTGGGGTGGTGATTCAGCTGTAGTAGTCCCTGCAATGGGAAAGAGCAAGGAATGTTGTTTTCTGGACGGGCTAGGAAGCAGCAAGGTTTAGAAGTAGGCTAAAGCTAATAATGTGCTGTGGTTTCATTTGTTAATGTCCAACCGAAAAATTTAGTGTCTGAAGAGAAAGTTGCCAACATGAAGCAGGATCACTCAAACTTACCAGCTGTGTTTTAAGATAATCCAATACAAATGACTTGTGTGTGTGTACAGATAATTTGTAATGATGTAATTATCTGACAACCCTCTAGGTTCCTATTAGACTGTTACATAAGTTTTTTTTAATTTTATTTATTTATTTTATTTACAGCTTCCTTATTGTGCTGATATGCCTTATCTTCAGCGTGCTTTCTACAATTGAACAGTATGCAGCTCTTGCTACAGGGACGTTATTTTGGATGGTATGTATGTAGATGTTAAATCCATTGATGTACGTTTGATCTTAATGCGCAAATTCTGATCTGATGAGTTAGTACCATATCTAGCAGAATGTTCCTTATGGTTGAATTGACAAGAGGCTTTTCTGCTTTTCCCTAACAAGTCTGTTAAGCCAAAGAAATAACCAGAAGTTAGGGTAGCACAAAACTGTTGTATGGCATATACTGAAGGGATCTGTGTGGTGTCTAACTCACATGGCTGTTCTAATTAAACTTGAATCCCTTATATTGCTCTGGTTAATCCATTTTTTCAGCCATACTGAAGGCCAGACACCTCACCATAGAGGGGGAAAAAACTAAGTGGAAGTCCTGTTTTTTAGCTGATGTCAGATTTGTCTTTTTTTTCACAAGTGGAAAACTCATGTATTTTCATTGACTTTAGGGTTAAGACAACTTGCGCCACCTGTCACACTCAGTTTGCCTTTACTAGAGAAAGCATGGTTACCTTTTGTTTATAGTACAATAGTGCTACAACAGATATGTGGCAAGAAATGTTCTGAGAGTATTATTGTTCTGCCAGCTTAGATTTCATTGAAGAGTTTTAGTTTTGAATTTTGAGAAGCATGGTTTTAAATATACAGAAAATTTATGTATTTGTTCTCAGTGTATGTCCGTGGTAGGGTACTCCCTGCTAAATCATTGATTTCCCTGCATTTGTAAATAAGTGACCATTATTTTACTTGTGAAAACAGTGACTGTATTGAGGAAATGCTTACTAGCAATTTAAATGTTTGTTCAACATTCTTTTAGCAGTGCACCAGTAATAAATTATTATGTATGATATCATTATTAGCAGGCAAAAAATAACTTTAAAACCACATAAATTATTATAATTTTTGCCATTTTATCTATTCAGTATACTAAGGTTTTATACTTAATATGAATAATGTAAGAATAAGAATATATATTAATTTGTCAGTCATACTATTTCTATTTAAGGTACCTTCATGCCTGGTATATTACTTTTAACTGACTTGGAAGTTATTTGAACTCATAGGTGTAACTTTATAATTAATTGCCAGGTAAGAGAGTCAATACAAGCATTTCTTTTATTGTTTTGTTTGTTTGGCTTTTTTTTTTAATTATTTTTTTTATCCATAACTATTAGCTATGGATACTTCTACCAATTTCTGTGATGAATTTCACTTGTGATGATATCTCATTTATCTTTGCAATATATCATAATGTTTTACATGTGTGGGGTTTTTTCAGTGAAATAAATTCCAGTGACAGCATCACCGGTGATGTTTTCTTTTTTCTTTGAAATCATAGAATCATAGAATAGTTAGGGTTGGAAAGGACCTTAAGATCATCTAGTTCCAACACCCCTGCCATGGGCAGGGACACCTTACGCCAAATCGTATCACCCAAGGCCTCGTCCAATCTGGTCGTGAACACTGCCAGGGATGGAGCATTCACAACCTCCCTGGGCAACCCATTCCAGTGCCTCACCACCCTAACAGGAAACAATTTCCTCCTTATAGCCAATCTAAACTTCCCCTGTTTAAGTTTTACCCCGTTACCCCTTGTCCTATCACTACAGTCTCTAATGAAGAGTCCCTCCCCAGCATCCCTATAGGCCCCCTTCAGATACTGGAAGGCTGCTATGAGGTCTCCACACAGCCTTCTCTTCTCCAGGCTGAGCAGCCCCAACTTTTTCTCAGCCTGTCTTCATATGGGAGGTGCTCCAGTCCCCTGATCATCCTTGTGGCCCTCCTCTGGACTTGTTCCAACAGTTCCATGTCCTTTTTATGTTGAGGACACCAGCACTGCACACAATGCTCCAAGTGAGGTCTGACGAGAGCAGAGTAGAGGGGCAGGATCACCTTTGACCTGCTGGTCATGCTCCTTTTGATGCAGCCCAGGATACAGTTGGCTTTCTGGGCTGCAAGTGCACACTGAAGCCGGCTCATGTTCATTTTCTCATTGACCAGCACCCCCAAGTCCTTCTGCGCAGGGCTGCTCTGAATCTCTTCTCTGCCCAACCTGTAGCTGTGCCTGGGATTGCTCCGACCCAGGTGTAGGACCTTGCAATCAGTTTTGTATGTTCATACTGTACGCAGTATATATTGTCTGCATGTGTATAACACATTCAGTGTTAATATTAATACATACATATTAATATATGAAGTGCATTCAGATTACATGCAACATATGTATTATGTATCCATTATGTATTGGTTTTCTGTTTTATCTTTCTAAGTAGTGTGAATCAGTGTTCCTGTTCTGTATCATGAGAAAAACTATGGTCAACTTTTAACATTGAAGTTCTACTATAATGATTTCTTGGGAATTCAGCAGTTATTTGTTTGTTCAGTAATGGCATATTCTGGTATTGTTTTCTTAAAGGATTAACTGTGGTAATTTTCAAGAAAATTAAGGGGCTTATGGCGACCCATCTGTCCACAGCAGTAGATGGGCCAGTGCGTTCTCTGCTCTGTCCAGTTTTGGGGGACTTTCAAAGGAGTTGTGGCACCTTGCAACACAAATATAAATGTCAGAATCTGGTTCTTGTTAGTGTCTACCTCGTAAAATTTCCTATTTTTGTTCTTAAGATTTTACTTTCACTTCTAATGTATCTTTACAAGCAGTAAAAATGAGATGTAACTGAATTGTTGAAGGGGGGAGTTAATTACAGATGACTGGTTGAAAAGAAACTGTAAATTGCAAAGGAAGTGTAACAGCATAGAGGGATTAAAAAGCAAAACAGGAAAACCCACAGCTCAAGCTTCTAACCCAAATAGTGATGTAAGGAGACATATTAAAGCTTAGGAGAGCACTCTTTCTACTGCTTTGCAGTAGGAATTAATTTCTCTTTTTTGTTTGTAGAGGGCCTTTTAGTTATACCACAGTAATAGTTTTAAGGAGCCAGACAATGGAAGTAGGTAACACTGACAGTGTAGGTGAGCTAAGAAGGGCAAACAAATACTGAGAGAGATCTCAAAGAAGCAGCAGTGTAGCAATCAACCTACCAGAAGGAGTATGGGACTCTTGAGGAAGGCTTTTCTGCTTGGGTTTAACTGGGACAGTGTGAAGGAGGGAACCTTTGACCATATAGAATTTTAAGTTTCTAAGACCACAAATCATTCCATGAAACTTGAGTTATGTTGTCTGAGTATAAGCTCTGTGAGATTAAAATAATTAAAGTAGCACAGATCTGTAGCAATTTCTTTTGAAGATTATAAAATTGAGAACCTTTCCTTACATGCATTCCAAAGGGAAAATTACTGAAGCTTTCTCAAGAACAGACTGCCTTTTATTTTTGACATAATTTCTTATGTAGAGTAGAATTATCTCTAAATGAATTATACTTTGTAGTGCATCAAATATAAGGCCGAAGTACTTAGTGGTATCAAATGTGTATTGTCATGCTTTGAAATTTTGCCTATTCCAGGTTTGTGGATTTCTTGTAATTTGGTGGGAGGGGGAGACTTTGACCAGGTAGCCATAGGCTTAGAAATGCAAGAAGTGACTACTGTGCTGAATGTCTGGAAATGAGTGCTCAGAGTTAGCATGTGGGTATGCTGAGCTGAATAGCCCCACAGAGCAAATCTGATTAGATGAGCTTACTGCATGGGCACTGGAAATCTAATTCATCTTGAAAATGAAGTGGAATTACTGTAAAAACATGTGTGTGTTATAAGCAAACTGCTGTTGTTACAAAACCTGTTCTACAGCTCACTTCTGAGTTGCATAGCATTAAAATGCATGTTGGGAAAAGTACAGAATCTGTTCCCCTGACTGAAAAAAATACTTGGACAAGACCCTTGAAAACACAATTAAGAGCTATACTGCTTTATATCCTGCATGTAGCCTAAGTATATTGCTCTGACCCTGTGAAAGATCTAAGCACCTACACAAAGTCTTTTTGAAACCAAGTATACTGGTCACATTAAAGATGGAAGCTGTGTGCCCATTTTCATGAACAAGAATCTTATGCTTCAATAATATAGTCATATAAGATATTACAATTACATGAAAATAAGAGCTAAAAAAGTTGTTAAGATTATATTATTTATTTTTTATTTTGCTTGTTTTATAATAGTGCCTCCCACTACTAGAGGAGAAAATAGAAGATATGTTATCAATAATTTTACAGCATTTTAAAATGCTTCTATTTTTCATAACAAGAAAAATGCAAGTTTAACATTGGAAAAATAAACAAGGGAAAGTTTATGTGCGTTGCAAGTGGTGTTCCAGTTTTAGACAAAAAGCTTACAATTAGCTCCTGAATCTTTCTCTGCTTGTCCCCTCACTTCACAAGGCAAAGAGCCTTGATGAAAGCTGTACCTAAATGCAGTTGTAATGGGAGATTAGAAGAGAGTTGGCCTTCTGTTAGTTTCCAGAAAGTAGGCAAAACTTTAAATTTGCATGTGTTTATTTTATCTTTTTTTCACTAGATGGTGCTGTTGGAGGGGTTTGACTCCAGTTACTCGTTGGCACTTGCCCAGCGTGAGCTGGAGTCTGAGCCAAGACAGAGAAAGTATTATCATTTTGAAGGGTATATGTACACTTGGCCCATTTAAAATACTGGTGCGGGAGAGCTTTAGCCATGACTCATAAAGAGAATGTGGTGTATCTGTGTAAAAATTGATTTTGAGACTATATTTAAACTACGGAAAAAAGTAATTCAGGGATGTATGCTCCCAGAGAGGCCATATTTTTCTTTTATTTTCATAAGCAAGGATTTTATGGTGCCAGAACACAGCAGAATGCTGTTATCTCAGCATGATCTAAGAAAATCCAAGTGCCTGATCCAAGGGAATTAAATATTCTGCTGAACCAAGGGATATTTAGTGTGTCTGAAAAAGCTATTTTCTGGTAGGAATCTCATTTCAATATTGATTTCAACAAAGAAAAAAAAAAGGAAGGTTATGTTTTTATAATGAAAATATAAGCTCTTTCCAGCTTTCTGTTTCCTTTTCTACTTTTAGTGTACTTCTTACTGAAGATATTAAACAATT